GTTGGAGGCCATCGCAAGTAGGTTGGAGGCCATGGCTAGTAGGTTGGGGGCCATTGCTATCACGTTGGAGGCCATTGCTAGTAGGTTGGAGGCCATGGCTAGTAGGTTGGAGGCCACTGCTATCAGGTTGGAGGCCATCGCAATTAGGTTGGAAGCCATTGCTAGTAGGTTGGAGGCCATTGCTATTGTTTGAGGCCATCGCAAGTAGGTTAGAGGCCATTGCTAGTAGGTTGGAAGCCATCGCTTACAGCACTGAACTGGTTTGAGAGAGATCGTTTGCTTTGATGATGTGCTTTGCCTGATACCGGCTGAGGACTCATACTTTCGGTCCTTTTGGTGGTGACTAGCCACCGGAGTCGAGCACACACTTTGATGGATGCGAGGTTGTCAGGTCTTTAACGAAGGCACCCCACACCTTACTTTGCTGTCAGAGTAGAGTTTTCGTTGATGCATGCTTTGAGCCCAGATGTCCCACTGGTTGTGCCGGCCCAAGCCATAGTGAATCATGAGAGCATTATTGCCCATGAGTCGCAGCCTTTAAGGCTAGCCTAATTACTAGTGAAAGAACGAGATTCCTTCATCCCTGACACAAGGCTCTTACAAAATGAAGTTGAAACCTCCAGATGCACGCCCAATGCACGCCCTTGAAGACAGAGAAACAATCCGCATCCCACCCTCCTTTGCCGCTAAAATCGTCTTGCGAGTCTTGCATGTATGAAAGTACCACTAGCTTAGAGCGGAACGTAGTGTGAGATGCTGGGCAGCAAGCAATGGCAACGTTTCTGGCCAGTGTGCAGGGAGCTCAGAAGTGCGAGCATCTCCCTGCAAAACACTTTGAGCTGATTGACATTGTACAAACAGGGATGATGATTTCTAACTAAATATTCTACTCTAGTCTGGGTTCCTACACATTTCCTTCTGCTGGATACAGTTCCATCACCACCCTTTGTCCTTATACAGTACATTATTTTACATAGTGAATCAAGCAGCTCTAGGAAGAAAGAACATAGTTGTAGCAAGAACAGCAAATGGCCGTAGGAAAAGAACAAAATGCCCCAGGACAATTATGAGTAGGTATCTCTGACATACCTCTGGTTGATGTGGAAATACACTAATTCTGGGATGCTCACCACTAAGAGGGCGATTGCACTCCCAACATGCACAATTATGATCCATGATTGATTATATGTAATTATATATCAATCTTCAATCGCCTCCTTTGTATAGGCGCGGCACTTGGTGGAGGCTGGGGCAGGGGGCCCCTGTGGATGGATGTTTAGAGGTCCTCAAAAGAGGCTTTCAGTCCTACGGGCTTCGAAGTAGCTTTCATGCCGTTCTTGTTCACCCCACGCACGCGTTTCGCAGGGCCTTGCTTGACTTAATCCAGTAAGTTTCGGCAAAGCACCAGTCTTAGTCTTGGGTGGCAGTGTACGGCTTGAACCTGGAGGGGCGATGGTGCATGCTTTAATCATGTGTGTGATTGTGGACTGAGCCAGTTTCATCATCTTTATTCGACGTGGTTTGAGTGTTTTTTGTTGCACCTTCACATACCTTCACTGACTGCATTATTGTGAGCAATTTCACAGCATCACGTTCACATCATTGCTTTCACAACATCATCGAGCACAACGTTGTCATCGTTTTCACAGCATTGTCATCGCCACAACGTTGACATCGAAGAGACACTTGAGTGGGGTTGGGCGGGGTCATCGATTCATGGTATCCTTGATCATCGAGTGCGCAACGTTGACATATGTTCACGACATCATGTTCGCAACATTGTTTTGGCTTGTTCAACATATAGTCAAGATATGTCAACATTGTCGGTACGTGTTGTCATGAGTCATAAGATTATCATATTGAGGTTAGTTACAGCTTGAATATGTTTGTTGAGACTGGTAGACCTCTCAAAGCGAGAGTCCTAAGACTTGTCAATTGGTTGACAAGTGACAGGGAAATCACTAGACCTTGACATTGAGTGACTGGGGAGGGGCATGGAGACAGTGACTGGGGAGGGGCTTAGAATGACGCAACAGGGGCAAAGACGGATTTCCTATTTTGCGGTGATACAGCATACAATTTGCACTGCGTTTACCAATGCCAATCAACTTGAGTCAAGCCGAAGCATGCTACAGCTTCCAATCCGTTTGTGCCTGCCATGCAAAAGCTCTCCATTTTTTGGGCATCTTTACGTACCTCTACAGTCCTCTACATACTGTGTAGCTTTGCCAAGGAAACAGCACGGGCCGTTCCTTTCGGAGGGGCCTTCCTGTCCAGGATCCCTTCGATCCCCTCGAAGCGATGCAGAGCCGGCGGAGCACGGCACTGTTCGGTGGAGAAGTGGCTTGGACATCCGGAAACGATGTGTTTTTGACATGTTTTGATCCGGAAACGAGACAAACCGCTGCAACGAGACGAACCTGGCGCCAGTTTTTCCAGTTGTGGATCCCAAAGTGCCCTTTGCGTCTGGCATGGCATTTCAATGACGTTTTGCTGCGACGAGGGGTTTCCATCTGAAACGAAAGGAGGGTTTCCATCGGTCCGTTTGGCGTCCGAAATCGCCGACGCTTTAGGCAGGCGGACTGGTGATTCCGTTCCTGCTTCTTCTTGGCTCTGGAATGCTCGGGAATTCGGACTCCCATTCTTTTGAAGCTTTGAGACTTTTCGAGTGAGCACACTGTGGGTATGTTGATGTGTTTTGTACGTTCAAAGAAGACCCCCTGGCTTCGGTTCGGGAAATAGACCAGTCTACCCAGCCAGGGGCGAGAGGATTCGCAGGTCTCCCTCTTCCACACACCCTCATCCCTCTTCAACCGTCCGGCCGCGGCCATGGCTCCTCGTTCGGGTGTGACCGAGGTTTGCGGCCATGAAACCGAACCCTGTGAGTATGCATAGCTGGATGCATGAGTTCGCCAAGCCAGGCCGAGTTCGTTTTTGCGGCAGAGGGATAGAGTCGACGGGATCCGGGAGTTTGGTGGGCCGAGATAATTCGGGTCATCTAAAGTATTCTAAAATGGATGGAAATGGGATCCAAATGGATCTTGGGAAGTGTCCGGAGTCCATGGTCGTCCATTTTACATTTATGCCCATGGTCTATATGTTTATGTTTCATATTGTTAATGTTTACAAGAACACTTTGCTTACTGGCCCATCCAGCCAGTCCGAACGCGGTCGACCCCCCCCCCGAACGCCGACTTCGGGCGACGTCGCCCGAACGCTTCGCCCTCTCTGGACGAACGCAGGACCTTTCGCAGAATTCCTGGTAGCCACTTGGACAAAGTTCAGAAACTAAATGCTTGGCTCAGTGAACATGTTTCTGAACTGAGACTTTTTGTTTCTCCCCAGCTGCAGATTCCAAGTTCCTCGTAGGACAGTGTGTTTGTGTGGAACGCCTTGGGTGCCTGGTAAGCATGTGAGTTGAAATAAGGATCAAACACTGTTTGGAGGGCTTTGGGAAGCCGTACTGGACCTCTCACATTACTCACCCAGCGATTCATAGCCGCACCGAAAAAGGGAACGTTCAACCTCCTTTTCAGCTGGTGAAGAATTTACCAGAGCAGCGGCCAAAACTTTCCCAAGTAACAATTTGAAGAGAGTCTAATGCATTATGCCTTCGCGAAAGCAAAACATGCAGTCGTGAAAGATCCGCGAAAGATTGTGCGAACTTTTCATTGGCGAAAGCTTGCGAAAGCTCCAGACAGTTGGCAAAAGCTTGCGAAATCAGTTCCGTCCGCGAACGCTTGCGAAAGTGTTTTTGTACAGAATGCAGCGCGCGAAAGCCAAAACTCAAGCCGCGAAAGTGGTGCGAAATGAACTTGCGAAAGAAGAGCCCATTAGAACAAATTCTCGATAGGTTTTGAGCAATGCTCAATTACTAAACTCCAATGAATAGCATCAACTCAATGAGTCTGACTCGTCCCAAGTGAAGAGTTGTATTTATCTGCCCAGATGCTCCTGGACCTGGACCGGATTTTTCTGAACAACATCCGACCATCTGGACAGGTCGGCCTGGGGTTTCTGGACAGGTTGGCCGGGTGTTTTTGTGGACCGAATGGGCTGCCTTCACATTGCAAAACCGCGTTTGGGCGCTCCGGCGCTTCTTCCCAGGAGGAGATGCCTATCCGCTTTGCTGAACGCATTCGATGGATCGAGCAGGCGCCGTACAGTGGCCGATCTGGGAGAACGTCTCCTGTAAATGCAACACCTGATAAAGGAGAGGGATCGTAGCTGCTGCTGCATATACTGTTATCATCTGTTATCTATGTCTTTAAGCTCTTGTGTATTTATACACCGGATGCATAATGGTTTGTTGCATTTTGTTGCGTCAAAGGCGGGAGTCCCGTAGATCGGCATTGAGACCTCTGGTTGTCGAGCGAAAAGCGGATGTTTTGAGAGCCAAGTTGCCACTTGATCTGTTGGTACATGTTTATATACTGTAATAGTTTTTTTTTTTTTTTTACATGTTGATACTGCAGATAACTCTCATTGTAGCCAGTCCAGTGCCAGAACACATGGTCTTGAAACGCATGGTCTCCGCAGGTTCAGGAGTGGAAGGACATCCCGGAACTCGTTGATTCCCACATGAAGCACAAAGAGCCTTGGCGCATCCTTAGTGTGGAGGCCATCGGCATGGAAAACTTCTGTCGCGTACATGCAGAAACAATCGAACCTGTCCATCCACGAAGCGAGCATGTGCGCAAGGGGCAGTTGGACGGCTGTGTCCGAAATTCCGGTGGATTCCTGCTTTGAGCAGCATGCACCTGAGGCTTCCTTTTCGTACATACGCAAGGCTGAGCCACAAGACCCTGTGAATTTCCAGAAGGCCGTGCAGAAGGTCCTCAAGCGACAAGAGAACATGGTGGAGCTGATGACCCTCGCAGCTTAGATCGAAAAAAGACATGACTCATGACATCTCATGACTCATGACTGATCCGTCCGTCGTGGTGGGTCTTGACACCCAACAAAACCAGGACGCCGAACTGGCAGCTCAACTGAGAAGCGTCTCATGCTGTCTTCGTTCGTTAACTGGTGGTTCCCCCCAGTTTTGACCCACGTTTTCGTCTCAGGAAAACGTCAGCAGAATTCAGCAGATATTTTCCTTGTGGAGTCCTTTTTTTGTCATGGCACGTGCATGCAAGTGCTGCACTCTGTGCACTCTGTGGCGCTAGTCCCGAAACTTCAGGGCATGCACAAGCTACGGAAACTCCGCAGAGCCGACAACTTTGACCACTTTACGAACAAGTTTCTGGACAATTTTCTGCCTCTCGGCCTGCAACGCCCAGTACGGACACGTCCGTGAGAGTCCTTTGTGGCGCCGCGACGCGGCCTCTCGCGGGTGAAAACCGGGTGTGGACGGCGAGACGGTTTGGTCGAGCGACCCCTCGGTGGATCGATGGCCCGATGGCTCCACATGAGATCGGTCCAAAGAACCATAGGAAACATATGCAAACGAATAGAGCTTCCACCCCACTCTGGTCTGAGATACGAGGGTCGAGCTAAAATGAGGTTGAACCGACTTGGTTGCAATTTGCTACTCTCTCATTACCTGGCCTGTGCACATCCACATCGCAAGATGATTGGCAACTCAACTGCAAGAGCTTTCGGTCAGTTGTTTTCGGGCGCCAAAGCCAGAAGACCAATCGAAGACGCTTCTTGCCTTTGAGAGGTGTGTTCCTTCCAAGTGGCACTTGAGGTATAATTGATCCTCAATGTGATGCTGTTGAGACCTGCAAGGCAGCTGGACAGGCGAAGATATAACCCAGCTGGCCTCTTGTTGTGAATTCCAAGAATGAGACAACAAAAACCCAGTCGTTCCGGTCGCTCCATTCGGCAGGAAATTCTGAGCGCTTGCCAAGACTTCTTGGGACGCAAGCCGGTGCTCCGGGTGGAAGGTTTTTCCCAAGAAGGTCACCAAGGGCCCGCACCCAGCAGCTTGGCCAAAAGAGACCCCACGTTCCCAAGTGGCATCTGAATCCGTTCTCAAACGAGTTCTACTCTCACTATAGTCCAAATTCCATTGAAGCTTGCGATGTTGAAGCACTGGCTGCTTGAGACTAGAGGGTGAAAGGTCACATGCGGAGAACTTAAGAATCCTATTGAGGATTATGATGCAAACGTTGCAATGCAACGAGTTGAAAGTACCGATATTGCACTCGAAACAACTTGAACCCATTCAAGATTTTGTGAAGGTGCATAATTAGTTGAGATAATAGGAATCATGCACATGTCACATTCTTGTATCTTTAAACGGATTCAATCAAGAACGTGGCCACGTAAGAACCTGGCCGACCGGGCTTGCTGTTCGACGGCAAGACTGAGGATTTGCCTACATTCCTGGCATCTTAACGTTTATCATGCGGGAGTTGCTGAAGAACAGCTGCCGTGCCACACTGGACATCACACCCAATGATCCTTGCCTATCATGGACGAGGGACTTGGGAGTGACATCCATTTTTTGTATCTTTTTGTTACTAGTGATCATCACACTTGCGCACTGAAACGCGCGCCCTCAGCAGCACGAGTCCGCAGAGAGCAGTCCGCTCGTCCTGTTACTAGTGATCAAACACAGCAAAGGATTCAGTTCCCAGAGTCCTACGTTGAACTGTCCATCCCTGGCCGACTCGGTGCACCCCGTGGGGCTGCACTCTCGGCCCACTGCTTCCATCCGAAACGGAACTGCCCATCAGCCAGTGCTGTGTCGGCCAGCGAATCGTGTATCCTTCCAGCTGTGATGAGCTGTGAATATTGTGAACCACAAGCTGTTGCCATTGGCCATTGGCGTTTCTTCTCCCACGTCTCCTCATGGTTAGAGGCACATAAATGAAACATGTGGAATGTTCGTACTCGCCATGCGCAAGACTTGAACCAGCAGCTAAATTTTGGCTGGAGAGTCTTTTTTGTTGAAAGAAAGGCTTAAAGCATCATGTCCGGGTGTGGCCAGTGTGGCCTGAATCCACGGAAACTGTGAAATACTATACTGTAAGTATATGAAATACTGTGAATACTGTTTAGATACAACAGGTTATGTGTTCTTTCAGCTTGACTGGCCAAGCCGTGACGTTATGTGCTTCGTCATGAGCACATCAAGAAACGACCGGCTCGTGGAAAACAGGTCGTGACGATTCGGCACGGGACGGCAGGGCTCCCAGTGGGGCGACAGCCTTTCGTTTCGACAGCCACAGCGACGGCCTAAGGATGCAGATCTGGCAAGCCGCCCGATCGAGGTGGTGGCCTGTGCAAATGCAGCACACGTGATGATTCGAAGCTTGCTTGACGGGGGGTTGATTGGATGACTTGAGTAGAGACACTCCAAGCAACTTAGCTCTGACCAAATGCATTAAGCCGGGTGAGTGCACATGTTTGTGTGATTATCATTACATGTTTGCTCTGGAGAAGCCCGCTGTTGGGGGTGCATTAGTTTGAGATAGCCAAAGGAAGGGCCTTCCATGGGCGTCGTTAACTACTTCAGAGTGACGCCAGAGCTAGAGAGATGGTTTCCGGGTTCGTCCAAGTATAGTTGTGCAGTCTTTAAGCCTTAGCTTGGGCTGTTATTTTATGCATTCGAACATGCTCCCCAAATAGCTTGAGATCAATGAACCAACAGATCTCAATTTTTCAATCGAAATGTTTAGGAGACATTGGAGCAAGTCTGAGCCCTTTGATGGCTGTGGGTCAGGCCCGCTAAATTATGTTCCATACATTGATGAACATGGAGGGCCTTCTTTCCAGCAGCTGAGGAGTGAGTGATCGAGCAGGAGGCATCCCCATTGAGGTTGGAAATCGTGTGTGGTCTTACATGCAGCTAGATGTCGACAAGTGGCAGTGGGAGGGTGTTGCGCGAATTGTAACCTTCCTGAAGCTTGGTATCAGACGGATTTCACGGCACATCAAGCACTGGATAACGCAGCCCATGACCTGTGCACCATCTCAAAACATCTCGAAGCGGACTACTCGAAATTAGTCAGCAGAATGCATTAATTGTTTTGCAAGTTAATTGGGTATCAAGAATTGAATTGGGTATCAAGAATTTTGATGTCTTTTTGCTTTTTGTGTTGTGTATTATATAAGATATTATTAATGTACTGCGGCATCATAAGGAAAGCTGTTGAACCTTAAACGATCCACACTGGAGCTAAGCTTCTGCAAGCTTATCAGAGCTTTTAACGACATATGAGTCACAAGACAAACAAAGGCCAAAGGCTCCTCCCAAGTGCAGCTGGCCCACGTTTTTGCGTTTTTGTAGAGACAGGGTCATGTTCGACTGGGATGTACATGCCAGTTTGCCGGCGACTCCTTCGTTTTGGTTCTGACTCACCGGGCGGAGACTCCGTAACAACACGGGACCGACGGCGGAGACTGGTGTACACCATGGACTGGACCGGTCCTCCACATGTTTGCTGAAAACCATCGAACTGGTGCATCTCAGGGAGCTCCGAAAGCCTTCGTAGAAAGCCTCAAAATAGAAGCACAGAGAGTTCTCCAAGTCGCCGATCGACAATGCATTTTATCCACGTTTGGGTGGATTTTGCACTGCGGATCATTGGTGTTTGCGGATGGCTGAGTGTCGACTGCGTTGAGGGTCGCCATTGGTTGTTGCAGGCTTGGATATCTTTGGACCATTGGAATTCAGATGCATCCCTGGCTCATTGATGTCGCTGATTTCAGGTATACCACCTCCTCTGGGAAGGCATCTCCCCTGAGTGGCTATGGCGTTGGGCTGCCACTCTCGCGGCTGCATGCCCGGTGACCGTCGATGAAGTCGTTCGGTGGATCATGGACGTCCCTGTCTTACTGTTAGAGGCCACTACTGACCATCATGGGATCCCTGGCGCCGTTGAACGAGGGGTTGCTACCTACTAGGTACAGACACACCTACTAGGTAGCAGCTTGCATTCAATTCGATGTTCTTCGTCATGTCCTAAAAAAGAGTCAGGGCAAAAGCAAACACAGACCCCGTTTCACCATGTTTCACCACAAGATCCGCCCTGTTTCGTTCGAGTTTTCCCAGCCGATCCCGCATGTGCGAATTCCGGCGGGATACGACGCGGGATGTTTCGGAGGTACATGGGAGGTACCTTAGAACTGATCTCCTTGCCTGGCTATGGCCGCTTGGAGCTCCGGGTAACGAAGCAAACCAGGTGATCGCCTCCTTTTCGGTTCGACTGGTGGGACCCGTTTTTTCGGAGTGATGGAAGCGCGAGTCATGGGAAAGGCCACGGGTGGGATCAGCCTGAAGTACTGATCCCTATTTGATCCGATCCAACCCATTTGGACTTGGCTGCATGAGAATGATGCTGGAGGATAGGATACTGATTTTCCTGGTTTACTTCACATGTTTGAAGCTTTGGGGATCCTTGAGTGGATTGCTAGTAAATCTCTATTGACTTGGCACATTCGCATAGTAACTGGCATAGTATTAAGATGTACGAACCACAAAGAGTGGTGGCCAGAGCAGTTCAGTTCCCTTTTTGTTGTACTCTATAAAGAGACACGCCACCCCTAAAGCTAAGTGTTTGATGTAGTTCCAATTCAAACGCCAGCATTTTTAAAGAATGAACCCTGCTGGTCGTCCCCGAGGCACAAACGCGTATTTGAGCTTGCCTCGGGTTGACAAAGAATCTTGGCATCGAGCTTTCAACGTGCCAATGTTCGTACTACAGCTTAAAGAGACAGAGAGAGGGAAAGTAAGAGCTGAGAGTCAGAGGAGATGCTCCTTAATATGGTTTGGGTCTCCATGGTTCTGCTTTGGAAAAGCATTCCATTTGTCCAGCTTGTCCAATCTGAGGAGATGGTCGAAGTTGTCCCAGATGAGGATGCTCCAGCAGCATTGCCTTACTCCTTTACTGTGTAGTGTATTGTTCAAATTTCAAAAGGCCTTCGAAGAAGGCACGGGGATTTTAAAGCTGTCACGGATGCATCGAGCTTGCCAAACGTCAAGTCAGTTGGCCTTTGGCAGGCCTTTGACCCTGTTCTACAGACAGTGTTGGAGAGGAACTCAAATTTTACGAAATGTCGCTGTTGCAGTGGCAAGCACGTCCAATATCGTCTAATCACCATTGGAGTCCACTTCGGACTGGCAAAGTGCCATACCATTCTTGCATGATTGCTTAAAGATGGCAGTTGTAGCCGTGGCGAGTTCCGGTTCCATTGTGCAATGCTCGAGGGCGACGGTTACTGTACGGGAATCTTGTTGAAAGCGGAATGGATGGCATTGTTTTTTGGATGTTTTCTCTCTATGCACAGAAGGGTCACAAAACATATGGTTGGTGTTGTGATGTGTTTTCTTTATCTGATGGTCACAAAACGATATGGCAGTGGGTCAAAACCTGGAGCTCAAAACACTGGCAGGTTGACCATTGTTTGGTGATCTATTTTGTTCATTTGCAGCGGTCGACGAGGGTGTTTTCGTGGTTGGACCCACTCCCACAAGGGAGATGATTCTTGGACCATGCCGCAGATGCAGCATGATGGCCTTCGTACACTTCGTGCCTATCGTTTTTTGGCCGCCAGGACCTTGGTTTGCGGGATGCGGTGTGTCAAGCTACTTCCCCTTCCAGATGTTGACATGCCTTCCATTTTGCAAGTATACGAGAAAGGCCTTTCGAAAGCCCATAAACCAGCCCCTCTTTCAATGCGTTTTGGTAGAATAAGAGCAACCTGAGAGTATTTCTGAAGAGAAGTTTGGAGAATGTTGACCGTTGTGACACCTTTATCAGCTTTAGGCAAATTCCGATCGGCCTTGGAGCTTCCATCCCAGTCTACATGATAAGCTGAAAGAGGCGGGGACCACAGCGAAGCAAGGGGCAGGAACATTGCTGTGATTTCCATACCAAGAACAGTTGAGGTTTGTCAACAAGTCTTCTTGGAAGACGGATCTACATGTAATTGATCGGGAAGGTGAATGGTGGAATGTACAGACTTGTTTGCAGGAGTGAAACACTTGGACGCATTGGTCGGTTCTTGCTTGTGATTGATGCATACAACATAATACAACCGCAGCTTTATGAGTAAGTCAGATTCTTACTGAAACATGCTGAAACATGCCATGCCCATGATGTCCAACGTGTCAAGCATTGCAGCATCCCCAAATGGGTCCAGAAAACACTAGATTTGTGCTGACATCAGCTTGATGAAACATGCTGAAAGGAAAGAGGACGCGTCACAGGATTCTACAGGATCCAAACACAACAACCATCATGTCATATCATTTACCATCATTTAACATAATATATATATATATACTGTACTGTATTTGAACCCGCCCTTTCGAGCCAAGCTAGCACTGGGCTGCCAGCTGTGCGCTTCGACATTGGCTGCCAAGGCAGGCGGCTACGACGATAGATGGTTCTTTGGGAAAGAGACATCACAAAAGGCATCTCCCCAAACATTGCTGCCTGTGCTGCTTCCCAAAAGGCAATGTTTGGTCACTGAACGGTTCCATCGATTTGGACGATCGAGAGAGGTCCGTCTTGGTCGCTCGATCAAGTTGCGACTACTTGGGCGAGCCTTTGCGAGCCAAAAGGGACGCAAATACACGTTTCTGGAAATACATTGAATTATAAACATGCATTATATTATCTGCTATTTCTATATACAGCAATTAGATAGTAATATTAGCAATTCTTTTTTTGCTGATCTTAATCGAAAAACAAAAAACATTATATAGCAACGTGTACAAAAGTAGAAGCTGGATCGGTAGAAAAAAGAAAGGGACGCTGTCTTTCTAAAAGAGCATACTCCTCTAATGAAAGGAGTCCATAAGGTGCAGCAGATTGGGAGCCTTTGGCAAAGGCCAGGAAGTAGGGTCGACCAAAAAACAAAAACAACAAACAAATTGGTCGACCCCCCCTCCAGATTAGGAGCCTTTGGCAAAGGCTGGGAGGGAGGGTCGACCAAAAGCAAATGAATTCTATTTTTTTCGACCCCTTCCAGATTAGGAGCATGTGGAAAAGGCTGGGAGGGAGGGTCGACCCAGTTTTTGTTTTTTTTGTCGACCCTTCCCTCCAGATTAGGAGCCTTTGGCAAAGGCTGGGAGGGATGGTCGACAAAAAAGAATCTAGGTCGACCCCCTCCTCCAGATTTACTATTGAAACTAAGTTTCACAAATTTTGGAATGTATAAAACCTACTGTAAACTGGAGCATGCTGGTATTACAGTATAGTGTGTTAAGATTGATGCTTTCACCATCAAGGCTGTAGATGAAAAGAACCCAAGGGTGTGGCTTTTATTAATAAGATTGGAGGCTGGAGAGTGAGCAAGTATGCGGATATTAAATTACCTCATGAGCTTTACCAAGTTGTAGAAAATAAAGCTGTGGAATTACAAACATTTAAAGATAGATAGATTCAAAATTATGAGTATGATACTGATACCGATGATATTGCTGGTAAAATTGAGAAAGTGAACCAGGTAATTATTAGGATATTACTTGCAGGAGCAAGCAAAATTCATATCTGCCAGAAAATGGTTGATAATGGTTATAACGGTTACATAACAATATTTGTATGCACTACTAATAGGTTATTACACGAATCTGACAGTGATGACATACCAATAACAATATTTTTTAGCATAAGTTTTAGCAACTGAGTGTTTATTGGAAGGCCACATAGTTTGTTGAGCAATATTTTTTGCCACACGTGATACCAGACAACTAAGATCAGTTCATGAGCTGACACATACCAAAGATTATGAAACAATATGCTGATGCAATGGTTGACACTATGTTTGAGCATAAAATATTACTGAGAGTTTAGAAGAGACTGAACACAGAAGAAGATTAACAAACGCTAAACAATATCAAGAAATATATGCTTGTAAATACAAAAAACTAAACTAATTGAGAAATACTTCCAATATACTAATGATATTACGTCGTCAACATACGACATGGCATATCTGAATAAGACCTATAAACAATCTTATAACCATATGTTTGGGTTTAGACAACGCTGAACACCACGTATTTGGGGGGCCGTGGTGGCGTCCCACTCTCAAATTTTTATTGGGGTTGGCCGACGTTCGGTCCATATTCGAAAGGCTGAGTTTGCACAGTTTGGCCAATTGAACAAAGGAACAGCTGCTTCAAGACATCTTAGCAACATGTAACACAGAGTCGGTGGAGGCGTTGAAAAGCTCAACGGCCCGCAGCCTGGGTGCATCCTCCAGACTCACTGAAAAGCTGAAACCAGGGGCCATGAAAAGCTGAAGAACTGCCTGGATATTTTGATCAAAGAGATGCAGTTGATGTTCTCGTTGACATTTGTTTGTTCCCGGAATCGGTTTCAGACAATGGGGCTCTTCACACATCGCTCCAACCAGGCCCTTCAGCCCTGAAAGCACAAGGGCCAAGAGATGCCGTTGATCGCTGATCTTCAAGTTTTACCATCGCCTCCGGGCACTCGCAAACACAAGTGGAAGCATGTGGATGCTGCGATCAAAGTCATTGCAGCTGCTAGGCCTGCAGGTCTGACGGCGAGTTTTTCGGGGAGGTAAGAACGATCACGGTCTGACGTCCATTGCTTTGACCTATACAGCTTCAAGCGTGCACCAACAAAGAGCAGAATCCAGCAACATTTAGCGAATAATGTTGGCAGCTCGTTTGTGAGGGAAGGGAGATGCTTGTGTTGCGCGCACGCACACACACACACACCAGATGCTTTGAGGTGCTTGTTTGGACGTCCTTTAGAGTCGGATGTTCCCCTGGTTTTTGAGGCTTCAAAGTTGAAGTACTCGGTGAATGCGCTGGGCACAGTGGTAGAGGGCCCTGCAGCAAAAGTCTGGAAGGTTTGCAGGACAGAATCGGACTGACTGAAAGCGGACTCTGAACTCCTCAAATTTCTAGACAATATCAGTCATGACCCATCTCTCAACTGGTACGCAGTTGACAGCACATCATTGGCCTTTCCAGTGACATCTTGGTAGAAACACCTTCCGTTGCATTGGTGTTCCAAAGGGTTTTGAGCATTTTCAGCGATAAACAGCTTCTAGTCACTAGTCAAAGTCATATTCGAGTAAAGAAGACGGCCAAAAGGCTTTTGCAACCCCAACACGCTCGTCGAGCAACATTGCACCTTCATTGATTGAATAGGTCAGGAGTATTGTTTTGATACTGCAAAACCTTCGAATTCAGTCCAAATAGAAATAGATCCCTTCTTTATTCAAATTGTGAAGAGGGAAGAACTGTACTACAATGCATGGAAATAGGGTAAAGAGATGTAAAGAGAATTATTCGTCTGAGGCAGGCAAGAAAGGCACATCATGGAGAAAAGAAAGGGCTTTTGAGATACATGGTCGATCGAAAAAGGAACTATAGTTACTCAATATATTTGAGGGTTGGACCATGGCTTAGGGTTTTTCAGGTGGAAAGAGGTCTGCCCCGGCGGACCTCTCCCCATCTCCCATCCCCCAAAGGTCCCTCAAGGGTCGCCGCCAGAAATTGTGCACCAACTGCCATGCGCGAAGGGCTGAGACCATCACTGCGGCCAGGAGGGCATTTGAAGCATGCCTGGCAGCAGGGGCCAAGTCTGAATTGATGTGCGCCATGAAAAGAAAGCAGCCAACTGGTGGCTGTTGTAGGGTGGTTGGGATCATTTGGGATCATTAGTCGCTTTATACAGTACTATACATTGGGTTTGTCCTATTATATATCTGTAACAGTCAATAAACAAGAACATCCGTATGTTTGAACAAGGGGCCTTTACTAACCATCCTCATCCACTGTTACAGGGAATGGGATAGACCTATAAATAAGTACTATACTCTACTCGGTCTGTAATAGAGGTGTGACAAATGTGATGGTGGTTTGCAAAGTCAATCCGTGTAAAGCTGAACATGCAAAGCGTTGAGTCAAACCTGCATGCGTTTGCCCAGCTGGTTGATGTTGATGTTGACTCAAACCCCGTTGCCTTGATTGCTAGATGCTTGTTTCTTAAGCATGCCATTTGATAATTGGAAAGTTATGGTTCACTCGTGGTAAAACCAATTGTAATGGCAACATTCTGCACATCCAACCCCCAAGTTTGACCCACCCTCACCTGCACTTCATGTGTTGCGGTTGCTGAACTCCACGCTGCTGACTCACACTGTGAGCAAGAATTGGCAGCTCTGACATTTCATTCGAGCGCAAATGTTTTTTTTGTAAATATCATGCTTTGCACACAATCCCAGTTGCTCAAGTAGTGCATGGGAATCCACGTTGTTTTTGTGCAGTTTCCAATTAAGAAGACTGCACCGTGTTTGCACCATGTACATTTGGTGGGGTCTTGCCAAGCATGATTGGTGATGACATGAGTACAAGCGATCCTGCTTGGCAGGTACATCAAAGTCTATCAAGGCGTGAATGCGGGGCTGTAAGCTCTCCTTTCCAAGAATCAGCCATGATACTGAGTCTGTTGCAGTGCATGATTGGCTGTGCAGTTGGTTGACTGACTGGCACCGCAGCCATTTCAGTTGCTGTCGTATCCACCCAAAGATTAACTTGTGTTTGTGTATCAGCTTGTTCCTCTCTTCTCGGCATGTTGCCTTCTCAGAAGCTTCAGAACTTCGCTGCCAGGCAGCAGCAGCGTGGACCAGCTGGAGAAGAGTGGTCGAAATGCGGCAACTTGTGGATTGTTGGAAGCGGGAAGAAGATGTCACATTATAGATCTGAGCCCCCAAGTGGCAAAACATGGTACAGTAGTACATGCTGTGCTTTTTTAGTCAAGACCAGTGGATCGCCTTTCAGAGTTGCTGATCCAGCAATGTTCAGTAATTTGTTAGATAGTATTGTTATATATATATATACTCGTAGTCCTTAGTCAGACGAAACTATATACAAACAAGGTGGTTATTTGATTTGCCCCAGACTCCCAGACAGAGAAACCATGTTTTATGGTTCTTTGATTTGCAAGCACCCAGCACTCCCGACTCTCTTTGTCTCAGGCAAAATTAGGTGCGAAGAAGGGAAACAAGGTGGGTTGCGTGCCGGGCAGTGGTGCGACTGAAGCAACATGGATGTGGGTCGAAACACTGTATATACCCTCTAGCACACTGTGAGTCACTGAAATGGACATGGAAAAGTACCACCATGGGGCTTTCCGCTTCCATGTTAGTGATTTACAGAATAGAAACTGTTGGGCTTGATTCTATCAGATTAGATCCTTGTGCTATTTTCGAAAGAGGCGTGAGAGCCAAGTGCGTATTGGCAGTGCTGATTGCCCTACCCGCGGTTTGGACCTGCAGCAGAGAGCTGATACCATTCCGCACACCGCTGGCCGGGTGTGGGGCGCGTGCTAGGATGCTTGCCATCAACCTTGCACAAAGCAAGCAAGGGAATCTTGCGCGAAGCATTGACACCCTTGAGGCCAACGCATCTTGGAAAGATGTATGACAGTGAGACAACGCGCTAATGTGCTCACTGGGGGTGCCCAGTTTCACTGGCTAGCACGCAGTCAGGGGAGGCCCTTGCCTGTCATGTCACAGACTGTGGTCCTTTTGGTAGCCGTTCTGGAGCAGTGCTGCAAGCTGCGTTCGCATGCTCGCTGGAAGGGGACACCCAATTCTTGTGGCACAGTACAACACATGTGTCACAAGCTGATGATCGTTGCCGTGGCCAATCAACCTTTTCACTTCGTTGACTTGCTGTGCACAAGTCTTTGCGGAGACGTTTGCCTGACAAGTATGCACAGAGAGGCGATAGCACTGGATAATAACAATGACAATAGCCTTCATATGATAGGTTCTGGGTTTCTACGGGGTCATGCTACCCTGCTGACAAACTTGTGCTTAGTCGCCAAGTAAACAATTATGCTTTGAAAGACTATGTAAAGTTAACACGATTTTAATTCAATTATGTAGTGGAGTCGTTGCCCTGCAAAAACAGCGTACTGTAACGCTGTACTGCACAGTATCTCGAGTAGTGGCCTTTATTGTTGAGATTCATGCAGCTTATCAATGTGTATTGCTTGCCTCTTGTGACGAGCTTGCCTCTTGTGGGTGCCAAACTTTCACAAATCACCCTGAATATCAGCTGTGTTGGCAGATGAGTTTGAATACAAGGCCAGAGCCGGCAGTTTTTGGACGCTCCATCCATAGGGAGGAACCCTGAAACAGGCGAAGCCAAGGGCGCGGGCGAAGCCAAGGGCGCGAGGTCTCGTCCTCAGGTTGATGGACCCGTCGAGGAGGGACTCTGCGGTAGACTGCGATCTGTTCATGTTGAATCATTCACCAAGCAGTCCAACCGCCAGGAAGAACTGAATCAACTGAAAGACTGCTAGAATCACCAACTCTCAGATCTTTCCAAGTCAACAAACCTCCGGTCTGTGATTCGATAGCTATAGCCCCTGTATATATGCCTTTGTGAAAGATTGTTTTTTGGTGCATCGATAGTTGGCACGCTGAGCTAAGGAGCTAAGAAGTGAAAATGGCCTATTCAGCTCCTTGCTTGCTATTTCTTGGGCTCTCTTTTGGAGTCCAACTGGCAGTGTTTGAAACTCGTTAATATATTCGAGGAACTCGGCTTCAGGTCGTTCTTACCGATCGAATGCACGACCGACCGGTCACGAACGCAACTGAAACGTTTGCCATTGACACGTTCCATGATGTGCATAGCCTCCTAATACAGTTGGTAACATCACTCGGCCACTACAGTGAATGCTTTCTTGGATACGGTTTGTTCAGATTGCACAGATTACCTTCCTCTCTGAGGTGAATGTTGCTGCGAGACCAAAAAGTCCGGGATTTCGCGAGCTGCGAACGTGAGTTCTTGGCAGTAACAAGAAGCTATTAGGAACAAGTGCATCGCTACTAGTAACAAGTGCCTTACTAGTAGTAACAAGAAGCTACTAGAAACAAGTGCCTTACTACTAGGAACAAGAAGCTACTAGGGGCTCCTGGCCTTACTAGTAGTAACAAGAAGCTATTAACACCAACTTCCTTGGCCTGACAGGTCGGTGGTGAGCTGTTGGCGAACATCGCTCGGCAGCGAATTTTGAAGGCGAGGCATGGGTCATTGGTGGCAACACGCTGAGCTTTGTTTGAGCAATCTTAAAGCCCTTTGAAGACACTGAGAAAGCTGCTAGATGCTAGAGATGTGTTCGATTTTTTTCTATTGTTTTATGATTGTTTGGCCTTGGCCTTTTGGCTTGTTTCACAGATTGGTTACAACGGCCTCGGACGCTGTGCGACACGGCCAGTTGTTTGTCCCTGAAACTAACACCGTCAGTCAGTCAGTTGCATCAATCTCGTTTGGTGTTCTCGTGACCAACTTTGGGGGTCGTGTGACGTAGAGCTGTGTTCGCATGACTTTGCTTTCATGCCCGCAACCGTTCGCAACCCTTTGAATGTGATTGATAAGGCCGCGCTGTTGGGGGAAGCTTTTGGAAGAGGTTTTAGATGGAAGGCTGAGGTGTCAGATTCGTGTGACATAGCGTAGAAATGCGTAGAATGTTGAAGTGCGGAGGATGATTTTGCTGCACAGGTGCAGCGTTTTGTGAAATCCTCAGTTGCCTCCGCTGTGACAGTGGGATTGCGTTTGCAGGGTGGTTTGTTGGAGGTGTTGGATGTCGCTGTGTCAGTGCGATTTGCGTTTTTAGGCTGTTGCCTCGAAGCTGTGTTTTCGTGATACGTGTCAGCTAAAGTTGCGACTTGGTGGATGTGAGTGTTCTCAGAAAGTGTCGAAACCATATACATGAAATCACTTCAAACGTGTAGTGTGGTGAAACTTTGCTGGAGACATGAAGATGTCATGTCATCACTTTTTGTCGGGGGCGCAGTACATTTGTACGCGTTGGAGGTGTCGAAGTTGATTTTTCGTGGCGAGCACAGGGCATCGTGAGGTTGCGACGGTTGGTGGAGGTGAGTGTCGCTGTGCCATTGGGATTGGTGTGTCCGCGGCTGTGGTTTTGAGGGGCTGGGACGGCGAAACTGCTTGGCAGGGCTGCTTGATGTGCTCGCCCCAATCAATCAGACTTCCCGCAAGACTCAGACGAAATGCTCAGTTTGGAGAGTTGACGCCACAAAACGCTTGCTTTCGAGACTTGACTGGTGACTTTTCGAGGAAGTCTTGAAATGCTTGTTTCGGAGAGTTGACCCGTGAGTGGAAGTCTCGCACGCAACGCTCGATTCAGAGACTTGCGAGCGATTTTCGGAGGATGCAAGAGTGCCCTATAAGAGTGTCCCACGAGAGTGTGCTACAACAGCGCCCCACAAGAGTGTCCCACAAATACCTCCTACAAAAGTGGCCTACAAGAGTGTTCTGCAAGAGTGTCCCGACAAAGTGTCCCACAAGAGATTTCTATACAACAGTCCTACAAGAGTATCCCGCAAGTGTCTTACAACAGCGTCCCGCAAGAGTGTCCCACAAAGAGTGAGTGTGACACAAGAGGTCCCGCAAGACTTGTTCATAAAAGTGTTCTACAAGAGCGTCTCCCGCAATAGTGTCCTTACAAGAGTGTCCCACCTCACAAGAGTGCCTCCTACAAGGGTGTCCTGCAAGCGTGCCCCGCGAGAGTGTCCCACAAGCTTGCCCCGCAAGAGTGTCCTGCAAGAGTGTCCCATTAGAGTGTTCCACAAGAGTGTCGTCCAACCATATTGTCCTACAAGAGTGTCCCGCAAAAGTGTCCTACAAGAGCATCCCACAAGAGTGTCGGACCAAAGTGTCCCGCACGAGATTTCGAGAAAAGTGTTCTACAAGAGCGTCTACCACAAGAGTGCCCGTCAAGAGTGTCTCACAAGGGTTTTTGTGAGTGTCCCACAAAAGGTTGCCACAAGAGTGTCCTACAAGATTGTCGCACAAGGGTGCCCCGCAAGAGTGTTCCACAAGCGTCCATCAGAGTGTCGGGCGAGAGTATCCCACATTATCCCACAAAATGTTTCCACAAGAGTGTTCTACAAGAGTGTTTGTCTCCTACAAGAGTGTCTGCTGTCTACAAGAGTTTTCCACAAGAGTGTCCCACCAGAGCGTCTTCCACAAGAGTGTCCCAGAAAAGTGTCGCGCAAGAGTGTCCTACAAGAGTGTCAACCAATGTTTGGCCGTTTGTTTTCGAGTGGGCGTGAGCATTCAGGTTCGTGGATTCAATTGTTTATACAAGGTTCCTTCTTGGTTTAGTTAGGTGAAGGGAACTGATTGCGAGCATATTGACCCCACTGACACAATCAAATCAGTGGAGTCAACTCCTTCTGGCGAGAAGTTCAGAACTGCAGCTGCGCGCTGGTTGGTCCAACTCGCATGCCATCCTCTAGCTTTCGTTCACCGCCGCTGGCCTCAAGTTCCAGTCTTTTTCAATTGGGTGTGGCTTGAGACACAAGAAATCACGGTGGGATCAATCCACTGGGGTGAACTTTTGCGTTTAATTAGTGAAACTTGAGTATGATATAAATATACATAAATCTTTGAGACTCACTCCTTCACAGCATGGTGCAGACACGACTCCTTGCATAGGAATTGAAGAAGATCTTGGGCAAGCCTCGTGGTGCTGAGGCTGCACTTCGCGTGCAAATGTGTTTTGTCGTTGATTAGCTGTAAAGACAATGCCGGCATGCCGGGCCCTTGATCTACAGCTGTTGCTCATGGGTCCCCAATGGGTGTTCTCGGTTGGGCAGTTCCCTCGTGCGGGAGCCAGTTCCCACTTGTAGCGGCATTGGATGTTATTGGTGTTTGTTTCTACAGGGTCTTATCCTCAGCGGACACCATTATCCATTGAGGCCCCTAGAACATTCTAATAAACCGCATAGGTCCTCCCATGTCCTCCCTAGATGCTGTTGTGTGTTGTGGTCGGTGGGTTGGTTGCTGTTCGCCAATTCGTCAAGCTGGCTCTGAGTTGCAGGCCATCCGCATGATGGCAGAGGACACCCACCTGCCTCAGTGGATCTGGCAGATGCAGACATTGAACCTCTTGAAGACAGGGTCTGTAGAGAGCATTGCGGGGATTAACATGAAACAGTTACCAAAAAGATTACCACTTTATCGATCGACGTGTATCTATTTTCACGTGTTGGGAATCGATCACCAATGATTTCTCAACCCATTCTCAACCAATGAATGGGCAGTCAAATGGCTTTGGTCAGCAACGCAAGGGGTCAAAGTCGATTGGCAGAGACATCAAAACTAGTTTGTAGCTCAAAGAAGTAGCTTTTGATTTAGAGGCACAATCAGAAAAACGCTTTCAATACATCAACCAATTGACTCTTGATCAATTCCCGAAGCACTTGAGATATGCGTGTTCTTTTGCAGGACGGAGTTCTTGCTGCAGTGCTGAAGGCGTGGTGCCAATTGGTGGCTAGCGGCTAGCTAGGACATGGAGGGGGTTGTTTCCAGGAAAACATGGAGTAGTGTGATTGTCTCCTATGTTTTTCTGCTTTCTCGATCGATTAGACCTGCAGACTTCGCACTCTATCAATAAGGAAGTAGATGGGTTTGTTGTTTTTGAGCTTCTTTTCCCCTTCACCTTTCGGCCTGGTGTCAGCGAGTGGTTGGATTGACAGGTGAATCCGCCTTTGGCTCCAGATGGTCAAGAGATCCGGGCACTGGAATGCCTGTGGTCGCAACAAGAGGCTTGGCGAAAAGATGCAAAAAAGGATTTGAGGTCCAGAAGATGCTAGGAGGAGTTGCCCAAGTCGCACCAAAAATCGACATGGGCACTTTTGCAGGTGCCTTTGTTTAGTGGATTTCACAATAGAAGAAGCGTGACCCGTCACTCGCATTTGTCATCATATATCCTGATCAGACCCTGGCCGGCCTTGGCCCTACTCAAACAGCATCGGAGTATCTATCATACAGGTGAGTGAAGATACTGGACTTGATCATACAAACACACTACTCAATGAAAGGACCAGGTGATGTTTAAAAAAGACCCGGGACCTAGGAGAAATGTAAGCAGTGGTCCCGTTTTAGCAAACCATGGCTGATTCATTGTAAAACGATAAAGATTTTGTTTAACAACAAAAAAACGATAACACTCATGTAATACATGCAATACAGTACATGAGAATAGAAGCATTGGAAATTCAAATGCCTTCAGTTCTTGAAGCAAATGGCTGTCAAATCCAGTTATTGATTTCAGGTGCATTCTTTTTAACAAGAGTGTTTCATGTCAAGGTTTTCGTGTAATACAAGCATTCAGGAGTGATTTCTTTTTTGGCTCCTTGAGCATCGCTGGGACATGGGTAGACATTTGCTGATCCATATGGGTAAGTATAGTTGCATGTATACATGCATGGATTAGAGGGTGCGTGGGCCTCTTTGTTGGCCACCCTCTGTTACTTGAAGAATTACCCCAGCGACTATATTTAAAAACATCAGAAACTATATTTAAATTGCCAGCGACTATATATAAAATCACTTTAGGATCCCAAAGACAAAGACATGACATGACATATATTTAAAACATCACCAGAAACCAAGAAGGAGGTATTGTGTGCAGGATTCAGGTTCAGCACAAGAAGGCCCAAACAAGATTCATCACTGATCACAGAAGTTTGAGATGGGAGAACATTTTCCTTCTCAAGAATCACTGTTGTGAGCAAACCGTTTGTTTTTTAATCTGATAAGTTCAGTTTCGTGGCGCTTCTTTGATTTCTACTACTGAGATTGATAGACTAGACTAGACTGATAGACAGACAAACAGCTTTGCTCAGAAGAGTGAGCTATGATGAGATTCTGTAGCCCATTTGGGCTCCACCCCCTTTGTGTTCCATCGTTGCAATGAAGCGACGGGTCAAAGTTCTGAAAAAGATATTAGAGACATCTATTTGCTAGGGATATGATGTGGTATAATGCCAATTGAATTTTATTGTGCCAGCTTATATATAGCTTCTTCAATTTTGAATATAGCTTCTACAGCTTTATATATAGCTTCTGCAACTTTAAATATAGCTTCTGACCTCTTTACTTGTCCAACAGACAAAGAGGCCGACGCAGGCTCTAATGCATGGATTCTAATTCAGTGGATGTTAGGCCGACAGGTCAACAGCACCCATGTGAATCATTCTTGAGAATATGTTGTATTAAGTGTTTGAGTCCGTTAGGCCACCAAAATGGGTGAAGCGTTGGGGGTTCCAAAACGATAACAAAACGATAACAAGAATACACGAAAAAGTCCTCGGGAAGACCATGTCCAACATGTACAAATTCAAAACTTTTCAAAATTTCCTTCAAACAGACTCCAAACATCAAGGAAAGCCAGGAACTGAAGGAATATGACCCGGAAAATAACTAAGAATTAAAAATCAACTAGCTACTTTTGGTGCACTTTTTCTCTTCTCCCCCTGTCTCTGTGTCTCTTCCAACGGTGGGAGAGTTCCTGGCGTCTCGTGACTTCGTCCCGGGGATCGAAGGGCGGTCGGATCGTCGACATTCCAACCTGGTGACCACGAGCTCATTAAAGGGGAGGCAGGGACATGTGTTAGCTGGGAAACGACAAGAGACTGTATACTGAGTTCCCAACATCGAAAAAAGATAAAGAGTTTAAAAAAACGATAAGGCTGAAAGTGGTCATACAAAATGTATAGTTTTTTTTTAAATACATCAGGTTTGGATCTGGGTCAGACTCCAAGGATTTAACGAAGCTCGACAAAGCTCCCAGGTGCGAAAGCACCATTTTTTGGGCTCGTGAGCAGCCCCCATCGAAGAGCGTGAGCTCGAAAGCTGTGCTCAGCTTGAAAGACCGCCATGGACACTCAGGATACCAGTTTGTTGCAAAGCGACATAAGAGAACTGGAGAGAGATCTGGAGGCTGCAGCCCAATCAGAGATGATGTTGCTCGAGTCGCTGCTGGGCAAGACTCTGGACGCATCAAGCTTCCGCGAACGAATCCAAGGTGCTTGGAGTATGATGGGTGTGGTAGGAGCTCTTTTTCTGACCATGGACCAGTACAATCATGTAGTCCATTGCCCGGCCGATGTAAAGGTCCATGTGCCTTTTTGCCAACAGGTGCACCCATGCCTCTCTGGAATCGCTACAGTTTTTGCTGCCGGGTCAGTCGTGCTCTCAATGGTATTGTACGTGCAGATGAGCTTTGTCCCTGATGAGTTCCTGGGTGCATGGATGAGGAATTTGTCCACAGCAGTGGATTTCCCCTTGTTTTCTTTCATCGTGAGTATCTTGGCTTGGAGCCTGGCGATGCTTTGGCGAGGGATTCTGAACTATGGGATACTTGGCGTCTTTGTTTCTGTGATGGTGCTGATCCTGGGCGCTGTGATTTTGTTCTTCTACCTGAAGGTTAAAACCATGACCAACAAATACTTGATCAGCGCGGCAGCGGCAGCCAAGGCCAGCTAAAGCTGCTGGCCTCCATGGGTTTCACCACATGGTTTCACTCCATGCTAAGGGCGAAGACAAAGTGCTCTGATGTATATGGAAAAGATTGGAAACGTATTGCCCATATTTGATCATGAGAGTCTGTCAATTTTCACTTGAGTCCTCAAACCAATTCATAGCTTTTGTTTTGCTCATTACGATACGTGCAGAGACTACAGTCAGAAATCGTCACCGCCGGCGCTGCTACCAGGTAGCGGACTTTTTGAGCGACACTGCGCCGGAGCGTTTGAGCTTTGGCAGTAAGGAGTGGGGTTCCTGGATGGAGCCATTTGTGCGTGAAAAGATGCTGAGAACTGTTTGAAGATAATTCTCTTTCAAGGGGTGTTGACCTACTCCATAGACAGACCAGTGCCAGACTTACGACTTTGTGCCGTTTAGCATCGTTTAGTGCATTTGGCTAAGAACGCCCTTGGACAGCCCAGCTCTTCTCGTCAAACACGAGAAATCCACCGGACATCCGGCGCTCCCAACTCGGATTGAGGTCGTCAGTCCCAAGAATCTACCCAGATCCATTGAAGGAAGTTGCAGCGCCAGCAGGGTGCTGAGTCGGCATGGGAGCAGGGTGCTGAATGAGGCTGAGGAGCGCAAACTTCGCGAGGGGGCGCTGAGCTGCGGATGGGACAATGGGACTTCTGGAGAAGTTGGACTCACCTCCTTGTGGCCACCTCCATGGTTCTTTCTCTGAAGAGTCCCACGTCCAAACGTGAGCCACCCCGTTTTTTGTGGTGCGCAGCCCAGGTGCAGGTGTAGTTCGTACTTATATTTGGCGGTTGTTGTCCATAAATGACTACATGGCTTTGACTTGTTCTGTACGTTCTCTCTCGTTGTTTCATGTGTTCTCCATTGGCACCTTTCTCAGATCCGGGCAGATCATGCCAGATTCTTTGGTGCGCAACACATGTAAGACTTGCAGATCATGTCAGATAAGACAACGACAGTAGGATACAGTAAGATTAGTAGACAAGAGTAGTAGCCGTGTGTTATAAACAGAAAGGAAGCCACATGTTTCTTGAGTTCTTTGTCAACGAATCCTGACGTCGAAAGCCGGACCGCAGGGGCGGTGAAGAGCCGCGCGTGGGCGACGGAAAACATGGGAGTCAGGTCGCGGATCAGCCCTACGACTACTATGCGGTCACTGATTTTGAGGCCGGAGGTCAATGAGGGCTAATGTCCACCGGTCGAGGCTGAAAATGGTGAAGACCTGGGATGAAACTATCGGAAGTGAAGTTTTGCCAACAAAATCTGGGAGGCTATCCTTTCCTCCCAGCTAGGAGCTTCTTGACTTCTCCCTTACTTAGTAAGCCCCTAGTTAAGCCCCTATAAATTAAGGAGGCAGGGCCATGGCAGGGCCACGGGCTTTAAATAAAAGAGTAGACACCATGACATCGACCTGGGATGACCACATGTGACGATGACCTTGTGGTGATGATGATCGACCGTTGGACACTGTTGACTGAAACAAGCTTTGCTCTTCAGTTCCTGGTGAGCCCATGTGAGCCTATGTGAGCTTGTCCCAAAAGCTTCAGAATCTTGCACTGCTCCCAGCTGCCAGATGTCACAGATGTCTGGCTGACCTTTGGTGCCGCATCGACGCCCGGTCGCCAAGGCCACCTGCTGGCCAGGGCACTGCACGGCGGAGCTGCAGGAGGTGCGAGGAACGGGTGAAGGTGAAGTGTAAGGGCGAAGGGATACGAGATTGAGAATGAAGCATGGATCGAAGATCTTGGAACAGATTCTGTTTTGCATAGAACATCATAGAACCTGACTGACCTATTTTGGATCCCCAAGCACTCAAAATAAGGTTTTTTCCTATTGAGGTCAAATGGTCAAATGGGCTCTGGAAATATAGAGCCAGTAGGCTCAACTGGCAAAGCGGGTGTGGGAAAAAAACACGGTGGAGATCAGCAGGGTTCCGCTAATTTTAGGATCTTTTGCATAGCCATATGAATCTGGGTTTGATACATTTTTGGTGAGGAACATGCAAGAATTATGGTGTCCTTGGTTTCTGCAGTTGCATTTGTTCAGGCAGTCAGTGCAGTCAGCATATCAGTGATATGGCTGTGGATGAGAACCGAGGGACCCTGGTTGACCTACCGTCTCTCGTCGCTCGAACTCGCTACATGGTGGGGGCTCCAGATTGAACGAACCATTTTCACATGGGGCGAATTTTCAGAAGTCACCCTGCATCGCAGTCTAGAGGGCCCTAGGAATGCTAGACTGGCGATGCAGGAATCCCGACATCTCATAACTATACAGTAACCATCAGTAACCTATAATATTCAGTCAATACTGTATCAGTTTCTTTGGGACAAGAGGAAGATGCAGAGTGCATGTTGTGGTTACTCATCGTTATTGAGTTTTTGATCCCTTGGGACCTTCCGTTCTTCGTGTGCAGATTATTGAGCTCCCAGTGGTCTTGATAGAAGCTTCGAGTGGCAAAGTGGTTGGCGAGCCACAGCCCCAGCTGTCCTGGTCGATGTCATATTGCTTCATCGGAGGGTGACTGAAAATAGATGGAATCGTTTTGATTTCAGCCCCAAGCACTTGAAGACCTTGTTGAACACTTGGAAATCTCAACTGTGAGGAAAGAACGAGCCCCACTTTTGATCTAGCCAGCCATATTCTTGCATCAGATTAATTTCCAGGCTCTTGTTATCTCTTGTTCTGCAAATGAGTGCCAATTCTGTAAATGTGTCTGCTTGGCGGACCAATCATTTGATTGATCGGAACAGAACGCACCGTGGCATCAACTTCAGGTTTCAAAGCTTCGTCCGCCCCGTGGCATCGACCTCAGGAACATGCACAGCGACCCGTGTGGAACGAGGTTCCGATTAGTGGGTACCATTTGGGGTCTGGCGCCTAATCATCTCGTGTTATTCTACATATATTGAATCACATGTTGCATCTTCTATTCTTGATGCGGTTTGAATCCCCGGCTTGGTCGTTGCAGGACACTTCCCGGCTTCACCTGTGTTTTCCGGTGCGAATTATATAGTTGTGCAATGAACATCCTCAAGACTAACGTCCAGCAGCTTAACAAGTCACGAAGAGGGATTGCTTGCTAGATTCTGCTAGACAGTTTACTGACGGAACCATTCTCAAGAGGCACCAGGTGTGATTGGTGTATGAAGGCTCTCACGCACGGTGGCACAAACTGATGTCACACTGTGATACACAAATGGACGGCTGAGGCCAGACCTAAACTATCAAGCTTTTGCACAAGGTGGCCAATTTGACTTCCGCTGCAGACACGACTTTCCGCCTGTACTTTTTTCCTCTGTCATGGAAGGTATACGAAAGGAATCCAAATAGAGCGTTCGGGTTGAAAGGTCTGTTTTTGTTGCTGCCCATTGAAGACAAAGGATTGCCAGTCCAAATCGATTGATCGAGTGTCGGATTGATCAGCGTGTTTGATTCTTTTCAGTGTTTCTGCTGTAGCAAAATTCGCCAAGGCTGACAGGGATCACCCAGGCTCTTGCACTTTGAGGGTGGATGTGGGAATGTGGATCCACAGTGTAGAGAGAGAGAGAGACATGCAGTTCACTGAAAGACTGAAAGATATGAACGGGTGGCATCAAAGCACTTGGAAGCCATGGCAAGCATACACAAGCATCAAGTATCCTGTCCCCGTGAAGTTTTTGCACCTTGGGGTTTTTGAAGACCACGTCCCATTACCGAGAAGTATCAAGTTGGCTGGGCCACAAGCCACACAGCTGAGGTGAGGGTTAGGCCTCAATTGATCTTTTTTTTTATTTTGGATTTTGGAGTTGTTTTTTTTCACATTTCATTTCACTGCAAAGCTTTAGGTGCACCTTGTCGCTTGGCTAAACCTTTAAGCTGAGCTTGAAACAGGTAGCGGATACTTAAGCGAAGCTCGCTTTCGCCAATGAGTGAATGCGACGGACAACATGTTGGGCAGGCAAATGTGGATTCCGCTCCAACTTTCCCAGAAGCTGCAAGGCAGCTGATGAAGTGGCTGGAGGTGTGGAGTAAGTCCAGCTCCCACCTGGACTTGTAAAGGCGGCAAGTATTGAAAAGTTTTGCCGCGTTTTGTTCCTGCATGTGTGCAATTTCCAGAGGAACACAATTGGTGATAAAATTGACTCACCTTGTTTCATGGTTGCAAAATCTACAATGGTTTGAGGAAAAAGCGCCGGGTGGCAGCATCGCCTGGGTGGCAGATGGAGATTGGGACTTTGACAAAATGCATCTTGTACGAATAGACAGCGAAAACAGAAAGGGGTCGATGATGAGACTTCGGTTCGCTTGACTATTCATGAGTTGACCGTTGCTTACAGGTCACAGGATTCCACAGTGTTGCAGGATGCCACACTGTCGCGTATTTTCTGGTGGGTGATGTTCCATTTGTTGGCGAACAAAAAGGTGTAGCACAAGCTGGTGAGGGTAAGGGAGGGACTTTGCTGTACGAAGCCATGGAAAAACCCTTGACTGTATCAAGAACGATCCCTACAACAGAAGTCAGGCTGCAAGGTGACCAAATGGGGGAAGCTCAGGGTTTACCTTCTCGACCCGTTTGCTCCAGCAGCCCGATTTCCACGAATTTCTTCGGCAGTGGGTCTTCCAATCATTGCACATGTTAATATTTGACGTGTTGGGAAAATAGGAAGCGGAAGCAGGTTTTGCATGGTGCAGGTCTTGCATGGTCGTTTCTGCACAAACGGCACCCGTCTTTTGATGTTTTTCATTGGTCTTTCACCGCATTCAGGCTCTTTAGGCACTGGCAGAGCGTCAAAACTCCAATGCCATCTGCGTGGAAGGACGGAGGCACCGTCGTCGAAATAGGACGGTGTGAGGCACGGACGACGTGAGGTGAGGCACCGTCGTACCGTTTTTCGTTGACCCGGAACGGCGCATGTTGGCGCGGGCGTGTGGGGAACTCTGGCCCATCTCACCCGGACAGGCCACAGACGAATTCCATGCTGCTTCATGTAACGTGAGATCAAGTGATCCTTAATTATGCCTTCGAATAGTCAGTCAATGACCGTGGCTAAACACAGGCCGTGACACTTTTGTCAGCAAGTTGCATGCCACTGTCATGCTGTTTACCGCTGGTCTAGTGACTGGTGATGACTGGTGGGCATTTGATGGTTCTGCTCAGTTCTATTTGTGTTGGACTGGCATCTCTGACTTTCCTCCAGGAGTTTATCGATGTTCGTCGGATCTTTGAGAAGGTGCATCCAGCCCCCAACACCTGTCCTTTACTCGGCTACGGCAACGGTGCAATATCAGAGATTAAATATCAGTGTGAGCCTGGGCACTATCTTCGTGCCCCAGATCTGCCACATTAAGTGCAGGATGGATGGTCAAGGGCAAATATGCTGAACATCAGACACCCTTTTAAACCATAAGTCCAAAGTAAACATGCTGGTGGTAAACGCGATAATTAAGTACTGAACGTATGACAAGGCTCCAAAAGTTTCAAACCTGGACCCTGGATGTTGTTTGCTGGACTTTCTAGCATTGGCCTGCGTTGCATCCTGCGTCGCTGTCTTTGCCATTGGCTCGGACCATTAGTGTGACGCATCCCTCCACAGGGTACGTGCCAGCCCCAGATGTGTACTGAGCAGATGCGTACACCATAGCTTTACGAGTTTTCATGCCCTGGTTGAATCTGGTTGATGCTGATGCTGATCGTTCATCCAATTTCACCACCTCGCAATGTGGCAGCCACAAAACGCCTCTTCGAAGGAACTGCCAAGTTGCTGACTCCCTCCAGGTGAATTCGCGCCTGCAGCATTCGCTCAAGGCAGCTTTGAGAGTTGCAGCATTCGCTTTGGTCCAACTACCAAGTGATCACCAAGTGTTTAGCAGTTCTTGATAACTTAAACTGATCAAGATTTCTTCCATGTTTCGCGATGCTAACTTGACGCAAGATCAGATCGTCATGTCGTTTGCGACTCGGAGTGTTCAGCAGGTTGCACCACACCAAGAATGTACATCAAGCAGGTTCGAGGGTGGGGCTCTTTGATGAGCAGTATGTCAAGGGGGGAACCAGCAAGGCTTTACAGCGCACCCTCTTCACATTTATGGTCGTTTTTGCATGTACTTCAATGCCCCTTTTTAGAGATAACACATTTTAAAATAGAAAGTAGAATAAAGTAGGCAGTAGACATGAGTAGACAATCATAGACATAGACATAGAGGTTTATGCAAAACCAGCTGACTTTGATGTGTAGTAATTATAGTATAATATATATATATATATATCAACGTAATTTATGTTCAGTTCTGCTTGAAGAGACGCACAATAGGTGATCATCCGTGGCTTCAAAACCTACAAGGACGCAGATTTTCGCACATCGAAGCAAAGTGAACGGCACGCCATGCATCGCGCGACGAGATCGATGCAGATCAGTTCGCTGCTGGCTGCGTTTGCTGTATCACTGGGACGATTTGAGGTGCATCACTGGTGAGAGACCAAACAGGTGGCATGGGTCTTTCAACCTGGAGTTCGGTAGTTTGACCCTGGTAGGCTGACCTGCTGTAGCTTGTCTATTCAATGGTCGATGCATGTCGACGCCCCGGTTTTCACCCACATCCAAATCAACATCTCTGCTGCTCCAGGAGCAGACTACGCTGGACGAGGATTTCTCTCCTGGTACCAATGTGGTTGTGGGCTTCAATGGTCCTGGTCCTCAGAGAATTGGGCTGAGGTCCTCAGGTGAGTGCAAACACTTCACCTTGGCGAGTTGACATGTTTTTCAACTTGGCTTACGCAAGCGGAAGCCATCGGAAGCCAGCCTACCCACTGCCAGGATATGGGCTGGTTTGTTGATGCTATTGGTGTGAGTGCATTATTTATTGTTTTGCTGAGCAAGTCACCTGTTTCTCGCGAGTATAATTCGAGTGGATACGTTCAAGTCTGAGTATGTTGATAACATACAGCTCTCTTGAAAGCACTTGCAGGGGGTGCTGTTGTATGCTAGCAACTTAAAACCGGCTACTGTAGATAAATATTTTGCCAAGGCTCTGGAAAATCAAATTTCTTCCAAGCCATTCTGTTTGTGCTGTCTGATCAGTGACCAGCTGGGAGGAGTGGAAGCTTGTCACTGGGCGACTCTATGCCTATTTGCGAAGCTACAGTCATGAGTCCTTTCTACCTGCTAGCATGTTTTGATGTGCTTTGAACTTATCGAAATGTCATCAATCCATCAACCGGCCGATGTCAATTTCATTCTACTCTTTGCCAGCCTGGTTGATTTCAAGGTATCTCCCTTTTGGAAGCTTTTGTCCAACATTGCACCTGATCAGGTACAGTTCTCTGCGAGCAGAGACACGAAAGGCGGAGCGGCGGAGTGCCAAGTGCTACATCGAATCTTTTGTTCGGATGTTTGGGTTCTTGGACACAAGAAACACATCTATATTTACAGTTGAACAATCGAGATAATCGAGATTTTGGTGAAGTTCAGAAAGCGGCTGGCACTTGAGCGGTGCTTCTGTTTCCCAGCATCCACAATCTAATGAATTTAGAGGACTCTCCTTCATTTAGTGCCAAACCAGCCTGTTACACCTTGTTCAGCTGTTTTTGAAAGACCTCAGGATAAATGGACACCCATGAGAAACCGTGAGACCAATGGAAAAAATGGAGACGGGTAGAGTCTTAGAGACCTCACTCTTTTTCATCACATGGTCAGGCCCTTTTGCACGAGGGCGCGGGGCAGGCAGTCGGAATCTCAGGAGGGAAGTCAGGATCAGTGACACAGGCGTTGTGGGCTCAGTATGGACCAACTGCAACGTCAGTGCGTTCAGTGAACCAACCTTATGGACGACGCTCCCGATCCATAATATCAAGCGGATCGAGCCCGCCGTCCAGATGTCTCGTTGAGACGAGATGGCGAACGTCAACAAGGTGCTACTTCCTCGTTTCGCGTTTGGGCAAGGTGCTTACAGCCTACGTTGAAGTCGTGCTCGACAATGCGGATCGGCTTGCGACTCAGACGTGTCGGATCAGATCCGTGTCGTGTGTCGGGAAGTGAAAGAGAACCAGAATCTGTCAGTTCAAAGGTAGGAACAAGTGCCACGCTAGTAGTAACAGGTGCCTTACTAGTAGTAACAAGAAGCATGAAAGGAACTGCCTGAGAAAACAAGTTTTGGATGCCTTGTCAATTTTTTGGTGTTTTTTTGGTCCTGACTCAGGCGGATTCCTGTGGAGAGTGACACCCTATCCATCCGCCGTTTGATTGGGGTGAAGAAGGACATGGCGCCAAGGTAGACAAGCCAAAATACATATTGTATAATGTTTCTTTTGCCATCAAAACGGTCTTTTGCGCTTGAAGAAAGCTGGCTTTGCTGCTTCAGGACGATTGGCTGTTGGATGGAAAGCATGCGACCAAAGCAGAGATCTTTGGGTTGTTGGAAGGTGAGGGTGCCGATCAACGTATCCTTGCCTTGGTGGTTCTAGTTTTAGTACTGTATATTTGGGTGATACAGATCAGCTCTCATTCGCAAAAGATAAGCCCATTTTTTGTAGCAGGCTGCAATTTCATTGTGAAATATGAACCATCCGTTCAAGGTAGCTGCCAGCGTCACGTTGTCAGTGTGAGTGAGGTGCAGGTTTTGCAAAGACCAGCCCGTACTACATTGTGCAGCAGGGCAAGGCGCGTTGGAACAGCAGTCGAAGTAACATGTGATGACATGTGATGACCGTGATATGCAGCAAGAGTTGAAGAAAAAGGCAGAGACTGCGTAGGTAAGAACCTTGAACATGTAGAAGCTATATAATGCAAAGCACTATTTTTCAAACATAATCATATCAACTTCAACCTATGTTGCCTCTTCGAATGTCTGTGATGCTGCTCAATCAGCTCTAGGGTGTTTGGAGGCCGTCGCTACTAGGGTGGAGGCCATCGCTAGCAGGTTGCAGGCCATCTCTAGTAGGTTGGAGGCCATCGCTACTAGGTTCAATCACGTCTCCGTTTGCTTTTGGATTTCAGGTCAGTGAGCTCACCATGATGACCGATGCCCAACGCCTGGGCCTTCTCAAGGCTGACTGAGCAAGGATGGCAATTGGACGAGAATGAAGAAGACTCATTACAAGCAATGGGACCCTTTGCAAGTTTGTTTTCATTGTTGGTTGGGAAAGAGGGAAGAAACAACTTATTACTTATACTATGATATCTTATACTTATAACATCTTATAACTTAACATAGTTTTACTGGAGTGGAATGAGCAATCAGACAAAAACACGCTGCTTGAACTTGAACTATATATCCTTTCCATAGCAAATCGCAGGTTTTGCTTGAGGTGGAAGAATATTCTATTCGGCTTCAAGTTACTGCTGTATCACAGAATATGCAGAGGCAGCAATTCCAAGCGGAACCTGTCACTTCCTGGGGTTTTATCCGTGAATTTCAGCCTATCAGCCCTCCCAGCATGTTGGGTGCCCCGGTTGGTGTTTTTGAGTAGCTAGCGATCTAGGGTTTCATCGTTCTTTCCCGCGCCAGGCTTGGGAAGATTCTTTCGAGATTTATTGGGTGATCCTAGGATCTCTTGGTCTTGAGACGACTACTGTATTGGAACCGGGATATGAAGGTGATTGTTGGGGAATATTGAGGATTCATTGGGTGATCCTATGATCTTGAGAAGATTACTTGATTGGAACCGGCATATGAAGGTGATTGTTGGGGATTTATTGGGTGATCCTTTATTTGATCATGAATCATTGATTCCGAGATTGATGTCAGGATATCTCTGGTGCTGGCCTCTACGATGAGCGCCGCACGGAGTCGGTGAAGATCATGGAGGTGCCGTTTGTCCGGGACGTGCTGGAAAGGCTTTTGTTCGCCCTTTTGGACTGTTGCGGCTCAAATCCTTTGAGGATCTTCAGGTTTACAAGTTTACACTACTTAGTACTTAGATGAGAGACTTAATTATTGCATACACATGCAGAATGCATCATTATAGATATTTGGTTTTAGTTAATGGATATAGCTTTTAGTTTTCATTCTCATGACCTGAAACGCCTTGGAGTTGGGACGACTTGGACGTCACCGAGTCTTCGAGTCTTCCGACGAACTCCACCAGGACACCGCCGCGAGGCGGACGCAAACCGAGGCCGACCGCGGACCGGCGGTTGGTGCAGACGGCTGAGCTGAAACGAATGAAGCAGTTAGTACAAGTTACAGCCCTGTCAGATGGGTGGAACTTCGTGAAGGTGCGTGGAATTCTAAAATCGTCTCACTTGGAGTCTCGTCATGCAGTAGAGGCTCCTTGAGCACTACTGTCAACAATTAAAGACACATTGAACTATACTACTGTCATAAATTTACACATCAACTGAGAGAGTCAGGGGATGAGCAAACTACTTTGGACACTGGGACGCAACGCACGCCTGCGAACACCTTGTGTCGTTTCTTTCAACTTGAACGATCGAACTTATGAACTTGTGCACGAAGTCACGGTCATAATGGAGAGGGAGAGAGAGAGTCCCCTCTCCCTTAGAAAGCAAGCCCTTGACAGTTTCACGTCATGTTGAGGACCAAGTCAGGAAGTGGTACAACTCAACGTCCTCTTGGACCAATATGAGCATTGGACAACATCTATGGTATGGGTTGGCTCCCCCTGGTTGGTTCAGAAAGAGGAACCCCCAAACGGTGCACCAAACATCCCCTGAAGAGGGCCTCTAAAGGAGGTCAACGGTCGTCCGGTTCCGGTTCCGCAGGGACTGATTCAAGACATTGAACAGAAGCTTCAGAGCTTGGAGGTGAGGACATCGGCAGACACCGGCAGGTTCGGACTAAATAAAGATGGAATCCGTGCTCGTATGACTCGTATCAGTATCAAGGCTGGACATGTCAATCAAAACAGAGAGTGTGGAAGGTTGTCTAGCAGTCACAAGACTTTATCCAAACATGTGGTTCCTCAATAAATAGAGCTAGAACATGCTAGGACACCGACAAAGAGTCTAACATTGTCAGGCGCCCCGTCGTTGGCTTCCACATGCTTCCACCAACCAGTCGTCTTGCAGGAAGAGCAACGTGAGCTGCGTGAGTGCGAGAAGCTGGAAGCTCGACGCCGGACGCTTGAATACGTCCGAGCCCGAGGCGTTCGCGTAGGCTTCAGGAACAAGGCTTGATGCCTTGTGATGGTGGGTGATGTTCTTGGAGTCTGAGTGGCTGGGTCATCTGAACATATCTGAGCTACCCTAAGTGATGCGTGGACCGCACTGACAATGAGTTTCCTTCAACTGATATACACTGAATAGTCTGATTTGTTCACCACTGTTAAAGTTCGGAAAGTCGTGGAGGTGGAGCAGCTGCTAAGCACCCTGAAGTACGATGAAGTACAGAAGTCTTGGCATGGATTAAAAGTGCAACTGGCATTTGTGTGTCAACCTGGCTCAATTTGCAGCAACGTCAGGCTTGAAGGATGAGTGGCATCATTGGACGATTGTAACCATTTCCGAAGCTTGACCAGGAAATGCTCCTCCCCTCCCTGCAAAGCACTAATGAGTTGTTCAGTGAAACATGTTCGCAGGTTTGCTGACCCACTTGTCGCAGTAGTTGTCCTAAACGATCATGTGGTCCTATTGCTGCTCAGAGACCGGCGTTGACGTGCTGGACACTTGGCTGAAGCCGGAAAGAGGGCGTTGGACTTGGTCAGATGGGATGGATAGGCATACAAGAGGGTACGAAGACTATAGAACCAAATCAAAAGACCAAATGCTCATACGATACAGCGTAAACATGTGTAAACTACTATACTTGCTTGAGCGTGCAAAGCACTACCAAACATTTTGTGAAGCTGTTACATGTTTTGTCTGCTGACTTCTTGGCTGTTCCCAGTGCCCACCCAAGAGCTGCACGTCATCAGAATGTTTGTTGAAGTCTTCCTATCTTCATGCACAAAGCCTGTTGCGACAGGCACACCAGCCTTTATATACAGTAATAGCAATGGCCTCCGGACTCCAACCTATTCCGGTGTTTTGATCTTCATCCATGTCCTTCATTGACTATGGTCAGGATGCGGGGAGCAGCCCGGCAGACAAAAGCCTCATTGAGCCCATCGATTCTACGGGCAGACGCTGGCGCTAGGGGCTGAGCCATTTTTGAAGAATATTCATAGGGAACAAGACGCTACGAACGGAGCAAAGGGCATCGCTACTAGTAGCAAGGACGCTACTAGGGGCTCCTGGCCTTACTACTAGGATCAAGGACGCTACTAGGGGCTCATGTTCATAGTGTTAAGTGCCTGCTTGGTACGGTTAAGTGGTATCATTTTGTCAAAAGGTCGTATCGTTACGGAAAGAAGTGACCTAACGCAGAAGTACAACACAGTGGAACTTCCACGTTTTCTTCCGGAAATACAGTCTGCGCTCTTGCTCAACAACTTATATTGATTGGGAACCTTGCAAGGCTTCCACCATACCCGCCTCAGATCACCCTCCATTTATATAGCCTTCAGATTCATACAGGCACAGCTGGCATAACGGCATAACAACATGTTTACACACCCAAGACTTCATCTTGTGGACCTCTTGCTTCATCGTTTTGTACTGAAGCTGTACTTGGAATCCTGCATCATCCCATCATTTGTGCTCCCAGTTCATTTTCAGGCGATGCTTCCTTTGCCGGAGCACGTCGATGCAGCTGCAAGGCAGAGGCCTGTCCGTTCACCCGTTGCGCTGTGAACCGACAGACATCCGGCAGACGGAGCAATGAGGAAGGATGAAGGAAGTATGAAGATCTCACTCTTCTTCACCTTGAAACACAAAACCATACAACATGCATCAAGAATCGCCTGATCCTCGGCCTGATCCTTCTCTCTACCTCAAGAATCGCCCCGTCTCCGCACGCTCCCCACACCCTCGGAGCTAACGGCGAAGCTTCGGTCCCAGGCCACTGACACGGACACCTCAGAGTCCGAGAACGAAGGGACGCTTGGGGAAACCGTGACTGGCAGAGTTGGGGGAGTGCACGCTTGCAGTTGTGCTGGGATGTCGTGCTTATAGTACTGCTTGTAGTAGTATGTCATAGAGTTTCCAATTTGCAATTGTGAGGTCCCAACATGCATGAGTCACAAGCTTGGTCAGAAGGTAAAAGGTGTCCCTTCATTCAACAGCTAGAAGGCTGAGATTCTATTTGGGCTGAAGCAAAGGCCTCTTTTTGCAGGCCCAAATTGGGCTCGAACGCAGTAGCATGGTCTTTGGATGGTCTCTGGACCCCGACGAGACGAATCAGGAGCCCTGGCACCAGTGGGTGGGTTCGAGAAGCCTCCAGCCGTGAATTGAATACAGTCAGGGGCCTCAGGGACGGCGCCGGTGTGGACCATCAGCTGGGCAGACTCAGTGCAACACACTCATCAAGAGGCGGTAGTATTAAAAGAGCGGATAAATCTTCTGCTTGAAGCGGTGCAAGAATCACACTCGAACTTTGGGGCCGTGTGAGCATTGGCAGAATATGATGCAGACCAGACCCAATGAATCAAGAACAGATATATAGAAAATGGGGTAGCGAAAGGATGGACAAGATCTATATTAAGAAGTGTAAAATGTTTTAAACTTGTGAAATGGTAACAACTTATTATTTAATGGTTTGAACTTATAAGAACTTGTTTAAGCTTACAAAAAACAAACAACAGATTTGGATTTCTTAGCTTCCCTCAGATCTCGGAAGGACCTAGTCGACTCCTCCCGTGAGAAGCTCCCCCGTCACGCCGATCCCCGTCGACCGTATGGCCTCAGAATCTCCTCAGAGCTGCGGTTTCGGTGTTCGTGCTTTCGTCCATCTGAGTCCGGATCAACGGTCCAATTGTTGATTGTTGAGGAACACATGCGTCTCAGGTATCAACAGGTCATGCGTCTCCCGCCAGGTTGAACAGGTCTGAAACGACTTCAGGGCTTCGAAGTGAATCAAATGTTGCGTCCATTGCAGTCACCATGGCATGCCAGCGCATGCCAGCTCCTCCAAAGGGCATTTGTTTAACCTTCCTTGTGTGGATTACGTAGCTAGTCAATGCTGATAAGCAAAGCAACGAACTGCTTGTGTTCTGCAAGTTTGCTAGAAACTAGACCTGTAATTATGGAATGTCACTATATATTGCTTTAATATATATAGTTATATAGTCGATGAGTTGATGTCAAAAGTCAAAGCAGCCTCCCCATCCCGCTGGAAGCCGATGCCCTCAGACGTGGCCAAGACGGCGCTTGAAGTCTTTGATGTTCAGAACTTTTCAGAGATCCTGTGCTGAGTAGCACTCAGACTTTCCTACGTCATACTCTGTGGGTTAATACGGATAGCAAACAAGCTTTTTTCATCTTTTTTCTGTACAACCGTAGAGTTGATGATGCAACACAAGACCCAAAAGCTTCTTCCCCAAATACCAATTCAGCCACTGATGTGGAATTCAGAGCTTCTCCTAGAGACTCAGAGTACTTTGTGTCTCCCCAGTGTCTTACCGACCGACTTGTCGTTCGACCGACCAACCGCTTCGTTTCCGATGCTCTGATGCTCCGTCCGACACTCACGGAGGAACTCGTCTCGTCATCGACAGGTCTCAGTCCTTTTCAATTCGAAGTAAACGTGTGGTGGGCCTGGAATGGCCTGGCCATTGGTTTAATAATGTCTAATATATTGTGTGTGTTTTCATGTTTTTTTTTGCGGGACAGATGAGGGTCAAAAGAATCCGTGGCGCCACATGTTCTATCCCTGTGTAGAATCGGCCTTTGTGATCTCTTGTTAAACCAATCGACTTGCCACCCCCACGAAAGGCCTGTGACCCGTAGGGATCCCGTAGGATCCCGTAGGCCCGTGACACGTGAGGCTTGGAGGGAGAATGCTGGAAAGACACTTGGCACCGTCGTTCCGTTCGGTGTTGAACGAAGCTTTGTTTCGGGAAATGATGGGACTCAAGGGAACCATGGGCGAACCATGCTGGCGGCTTCTGCTTGATAAGAACATTTAGACGACCAAGACCATCCAATGGGTCACCCAATGGACTACCCTCCAGTACTTTGGGATCTCCAAGACCCAGACCTAATGGTCCAGGTATAGTTTCCAGAATGATGATCTGGTGAAAGAATCTCCGCTCTAGCGCGCATCCTGCTGCTGTTGAATCGCGCATCCCTCTCGCGTCGGATGTTGAAACGTCGCAGGAAGTCTCAGCTGGGTCCGCCGGACACACAGCTCTTCGCCTCGGGCCTGGCAACACTGACGTCCAAGCGGAAGTCGCATCCACAATGGTTGACGATGAAGGCGGATCGAGAGAAAACGAGGGAGAGAGAGATGGTGACCGTTCTTCATGCGCGTGCCAAATGGGATGCGCTCTTTTTTGGAGCTTCTAGGCCCGGCAGCTTTGTAGGAAGTGTGTGACAAAGTCAGAATGAGATGCTTTATGCTGGCCAAACTCACCACGAAGCACCAGTAGATGCACCAGTGATATCCAAATCGGCGGCTCAGACCCAGAGCCGCCATGGCAGAAAACCCGAAATGCTTTGAGGATCTTCGATGATTCTGATTCATGGCCTGTTTCTTCCAACTTGGAAAAGCCAATCTCATGAGGCTGAGTGGGAAGAGAAAGTTCGCGCGCAGTGCCAGGACGCGTCAATTCTGGGGTTCTTTCTTGAGGGTCCCGAAAATATTCAAACACCACCAGATGATCCAGAAGTTTCCATGGCACGATGTTTCTACCATCAATGGCAACAAACCTCGCTTGAAAGCACCCGAATCGTTCACCAGGATCCACGAGATGCAGAGCGTAAGGCCGCCCTAGCAAGCATCCAGGCAGCGACATCAGGCTCCACCGCTCCGCTGGGCTCGGGTTAGGTCCAACTTTTGTCCCTCTGGATATAGTAGCTAGAATGCTAGTAGTAGCGATGCCAGGAGCCCCGAACGTAGCGTCCTTAGGTGGGGTCAATCTTGTTTTGACTGATATGATATGATGTCTTTTTTGCAACCTGGGAGCAACTTCTAGGGAGCGGTTGCTTCGAAACCATTTGAGCAAGAAATACAAGATCCACTGAGACAAAGTCGGCAGTTTGTCAGTCTGATACCACTGATGTTCATAAGGCCAAAGCGGGCCTGAAAACGAGCC